ACACACTAGTACTTAATTACAAAATTATGAAAAGTAAATTACTTTTCAGTGAAAGAAGCAAGGATTTCAAATTCTGCTTTTTCTTCTGTTTCTTTTTTTTGTTTGATGCCGTTCTTTTTATTCTATCCTATAGTGCTTATGTGTATGTATGCGCAAATATACTTACATAAATATTTTTGAAAAGCAAACAAAATATATTAAGAAATGAAAACAACAATGATAAAAGTTTCACAAGAGTCCTTAACTAAAACTTTCATATTTATTTTCTTAAAAGGATCTTTGGCTTTGACAAGTTCTTAAGAAAGAAGACAGAGAGAAAAAAAAATTGAAACTTTTTGCATTTATTTAATAGCAGGGTTCTTTTCTTTTATATTAAAAAAAAAAAAATGAATTTATAGAAATAAAAAAATTATTTTTTTTTTTGCAAAAAACGCATTAAAATCAAACATTTTAAAATATTTCAAAACATATTTTTGATTTTTATGAACTAGTAGTCATCTTATTATTTTTCAAATTGAATTTTTTCAAGAATTTTCAGATGAATTTTTCAGATTTATAACCATATTAAAAGATTTTTTATGAAGCATTGTACTCAATAATTGAATTGACTTAGAAAAATTACTTAGCAACATCATAGCAAAGCCTAAAACAATAGGCTCTCATCAAAATTTTGGATTGCCTATAGTCTTAGGGTTGCATAATTTTAATGAACATGCTATATGCACATACTAGGATCACAAAAAGGAAACATATTTTCACACTGAAACTCTAACATTCTCAAAATATGATTCTTATATTTAGGGCGACTTTTCAGTGTGTGAAAATTTAAAGATTCTTACTACTTTTGAAATAAATACATTAATAATAATTTTAAAATTCATAAGTTGACTTAAATCAGTAAATCTTTTCAAATGGTGACAAAGCTGCGTATAATATTCTCAGATAAATAATATCAAAAAAGAGCATTTACGACTCTTGATAAGACTAAACTCTTTAGAGGAAAATCATAAAATTAAGCGAGTCCAATCATTATTTTTACCAAGCTATTAAAGAAAACTGAAAAATCATTATTTGTCCATCTTAAAATTTTTCTTTTGCTTTAAAATCGAGTTCCGACATAATATACGACACTTCCGACCTAATATACGACAACAAACTAAAATGTTAATGTTAAAGTTCACATTGAATTTATTCGATAAATTTTTGTATTGCATAAATTATTGGCAATTTGTTATCTTCCTTTTTCCTTGCGACCATATCAAAAATTCCGCTTGCCAAAACCAAATGTACAAAACATGAATTTTTTAATGTATTATACAAGATTTATTTTTAACATTTAAATTCCAATTGATATTCACGTAATTGCATTTTTATAATTGCACCTGTAAAACTCATTTTATAAAATCTGAGATTTTTAAAAAGAAGAAAAAAATTTACTTATAAATTTTTAAAATAAAAAATATTAAAATTTATTCTGTTAGAAATTTCTTACCATAAGTAACACGATTACCGAACACAAAATAATTTCTATTTAAAATTTTAAATTTACGTGATGTGCTTCTGACATATTTTTCTCTATATATATTCAAATAATAAACCACATTGTATATTTTAATGTGGTATTACATTTCTATACCTAGATAGAATATAATAATTCTTGTAATGAGTATACACATACACATACATAGTTTAAATTTACAATTCTTACTAAAAGTATGTATGAGCTTTATTCAGAAAATTTATTTGAAAAAAGGCAGGAACAACGTCAAGATAAATAAAATTTGCATCCTGAATGCATCCTGATTTCTAAATTCGTTTTTTAAATTTTACGATAATAGATAGGATTACTTTGCTTTACCAAACTTTGGGATATTTGGGAATCTGGTTCGAAAGTATTTGAAAGAAATTGAATGTTGATTTTGAAATTTTTACAGTGTGTTCAAAAATTGGAATAGGGAAACCACAATTTTTAATAATTCGTTTTGTAGGAGTAAAGTTGAGCCCTATAGTTAAAATAATTTCGTAAGCAATATTAAACTCAGTAGTGTGCACTGCGTACTCGTAAAATTTGTTCAAACACCATACTTAATTATAATTTTGGGATTAAATAAACAGTTCCACGGGACTCCTAATTAACTCATCACAATTATTTGTTAGTTGGGAAGTCTTAAAACAAGACACTCAATAAAAATTTCAATTTTTTTATTCTTCAGTCATAAATCAAGTATAAAATTTCCAATACCTTTTACATGTAGTAGACACTGTACATGATTGTAAACACTAAAAAATCTGAAATTTACAGACTTCTCGGAGCATATTTTTCTCTTATCGTTTTATTCAACTTCAGGTTTCTTCTTTTAATGTGACAATTCAAAAAATATTTTTAATAAAAAATTTATAAGATTAGAGATGAAATATTTTAGAATAAAAATTTTGTAGTAAATTCGCTGTTTGTTGTTGTAAAATATGCAATTCATATAACAGTTTTTAAAGAATTTTTTAAAGAATTAAATATAAATCATGTATATGTAGTCAGTTTGTTAAAAAAAATTGCATTTTATAGGATTACCACCAGTGCAAGCATGTGGAATTTTAGACTTTCTGAGTAATTGAGACTTTGGTAAGATTATAGATTTAATATCCAATCAACATTTATTTATGTTATATCTTAACACCAGTCGAAAATTGGTTCTGTAAGATTATACAAGTTGACGGTTGACGGTTGTTTCATATGATTTTTCTCATTTACTGCGTATTCTTGAGTCGTTTTTAAAAAGTTCTGTTCTAATTCATAAATACAATAACCTTCCTGTTGTTACGGAAGAACTTGTTCAATTAAGTAGTTGTGAGTACTTAGTGCACGCCTAATAACAAAAATATGTTTGCTCCAAAATTCTTGTTTGTTTTAATTAGAAAAATTACTTATTAACAATCGTGCTTGGAACGTCTGCAATTTAATAAGGAATTCAGGCATATTTTTGATTTTAAACACAAAAATTTAATATAATTTAAAGAATACATATACTCTGTGCCTTTAGTACTGATATAGAGGGAAGAACGTGCAGGAAGAAAAATTATTTTGCTTCCATACGAATATAACAAATCTCTTTGTAATTCTTTACAAATGCATTTCACAAGAACAAATAATCTTTCCGCCATGGACTTAAAATTTTTATTTTGAACCAACATATACATACATACATACTTACATTATACGTGTTCATTAAAAATTAAATGTAGAATTTGAGAAATGTTTTAAAAGGAAAAATTTAAATTTAAAAGAAAGTTGTTGTTTCAGTTACTGTAATTTAATAATTTTATTCAATTGTCATGACATACAAGTTCAATTTCCTCCTATTTTACAATTTTTATCTAATTTATTTTTCCTTTTGCATTTCTTTAAAATACTTGAACAATTTTTACCACAAATGCAATGTAATTTTTGTAGTAGCGAAAACATTTTACTGGCGCCGGTGGTGTCTTCTGTACATTATGGTTTTTGTTTTTTTTTTCGCCACAATATTGATTCCAAAAGTATTTTATAAGTAGTATAAGTTAAACGAATGGAAAAATATTTATTTTGTCCTTCTTGTGGGCTAAATGGTCAAGGATTTATGAATAATAACAAGAATAAGTAAAAAATTATATTTGTTTAAATAATCCAGTCTACTTATTGTATGTGTCAAAACTTTAAAGTTGCCAAGATAAAAATTAAAATGAAAATATTTTTTAAAAAGAAAAAACAAAGAAAATTGCAGTGCCGAAGATTCTGATTGTAATTTATTGGCAAATTCGTAGAAATGAAAAAAAAAATTGTTTTCAAGCAATAATTTTAAAAAACAATAATTTTGTGATTGTTACATTTTAAATTTTTTTTGAGTAAAAAATAAGAATTTTAATGGCCCTCGTTTTCAAACATTTAGTAAAGATCTTTCGGAAGCAACTGCGACATGTTCAAGTACTAAAGTATTTTTAATTTATTTTTTCACGTATTTTTTATTTAATTTTGTACAAAATATAGTTTTTCTTTTAAGTGATCTTAGTTGAATGCATGACACATCTGAAAATCTTCTTCCGAGAATATTAGCATTTAAAGAATACTTCTGCCACTTCTAATTTAAAAAGCATTCCATAATGCAATATAATCTGGGATAAAAATTATTTGAAAAAATTTTAAATTGATTTTATTGTCAAGATGATTTCTATTATACTTGAGGAATTTTTCAGTCGTTTGAATTCGTTTATACTTTGATAGCCTAAATCAATAATTTTAAAGGCTTCGAAGCGAATCAATTTTGTAATACAGGAGAATTTCAGTTTTATTTTATTATATATACGAAAGTTTTAAATAATAAATGAATTAGTGTAGGCCTTCACAGTTTTCTTTAATTAAATTTAATTTATACAAAAATTTTCGAACCCAATGTGAAAGTATGAATGTAAATTTCAAATAAAAATTCCCACAAATTTTGACTGTTTCAATTCACCCTACCTTTCAAATCAGTGTTCTAAAAATAAATAAAAATAAACATTAGGAGAATAAATACAACAAATCAACTTATTTCAATTGCATTGTCCCCCTTTGTACAATTCTAGTGCTATCGCAACTAGAATTTTATCCTTGTACAAAATGTTAAATTGATGTATTGATTTTCATCATTAATTTTTCATATAATCATTTTGTATCTATCATTCAACCGCGACACTCAAATCGTGTTATTCGTGATATAAAGTCTAATTAGGTAGGTTTTATTTTTTATGTGGATAATTTAACCTTTGGAATTATAAATTAACTTGATATTTTACTTTAGTCAATTTATTGGACTGAAAATTTTCGTTAATGCATTCATGAAATATTTGTATAGGTCGAAAACTTTGATAATCATTAGAAAACAAATTGAAATACAAAATTTATGAATTACTTTGTTGAATATTATTGTAGAGATTTCGTTTATAATTTTATTTAACATATACAAGTCCACCAACTTCAAGAAAATAATATGGCAAAAACACGTAAAGAAACCACAATTGAGGAAAGGGAAATAATAATGAAATTAAAACATAAAGGCAAATCTTTCTCGACAATTGCCCAAATAATAAACCGTACCGAAAATTCAGGAACCGTAGAAAATCGTCAGAGAATTGGTCGTCCTTCGAAAATGGATAACCGTGCTAAGAGAGGTGTTTTACAAGAATTAAGGAAAAATCCAAAACTGAGTGCTCCAAAATTAGCTGCAAGTATATCACAAAAAATGGAATACTGATATTCATGCCCAAGCTATTCGTAGATTTTTGTGGCAAGAAGGATATCACAGCCCAGTTCCACGTAAAAAACCTCTAATATCAGATATTAATAAATGCAAAAGAATAGAGTTTGCAAAAAAATATGAAAAAGCAACTTAACAGATAAAAGTAAATTTAGTTTAGTTTTTATTGGTGGGAAAATAGATCAGGGGCAATATTTAAATATTATTAAAAATAATTTAAAGCAGTCTGCCGAAAAATTAGAGTTGGGATCTACCTGGGCCTTTCAACAGGATAACGATCCATAACATACTGCGAGAGTCGTAAAGGAATGGCTGTTGTATAACGTTCCAAAACAACTTCATTCACCACTCCAGTCGCCTAATTTGAATCCCATAGAACATCTATGGGATTTTTTAGTACAAAAAATCAGGAAACACGATATAACTGGCAAGGAGTCTTTGAAACGCGTTATAATTGAAGAATGGCATAAAATACCGTCGACGGTTACTTGTAACCTAGTCCAATCTATGCCAAGACGTTTGGAAGCTGTGCTTCAAGCAAAAGGTGGACCAACAAGGAATTATTGTTTTATAACTTTGAATTAATGAATTGCTTTTGTTATATATAACCTTATATATTTGTTTTACTTCATTTTCTAACAAATAATAAAAATATTAACTTATTTGGATATCTTTGGTGGTAAATTATTTAAAAAAGTAATGGTGTATGATGACTTTCGTTGCTTTGTGTATAATGTATATTTACGATCACATTCCAGTTAATCAAACTTGAAATATTCTAGAACGATCCAAAGAGAACCAAATTAATGTTGAACAATTTTAGTTTTTAGTTATTTATGAAAAATTCCCATTTTCCCATTTCTACTACTCTGCTAATTCCCATGTAAAATTTACACATATGCATTAATGTGTACATAACACCTTTATATGAGAGAATTTTGGAACTAAAACATGAAATATGGTTAATTTTCTACAGTGCAATAAGGAAATTTTTGCATGGAAATTTTTGGTTGAAAATTTTTCGGTCATTCTTTTTCACAGATGAGCAGGATATGAGATTGGCGAATATGAAGATGTAATTTGAGCACATTATTTTCTTGAGTAAATAGGCAGCCTCATTATGCATAAGTTGGCTTTGCAACATTGTAATTTTACGTGTATGTTCTATGTCCTATTATCTGAATATGTCGTCTTTCATTCCATACCATACAAAGTTTTACAAAATCCCTTACGGCGTTCTTTTAGTTTACTGAACTAAGCCTGTACCGTAATTTATTAAAAATTCATTTCTACATATTTTTATAAATTATTTTCTGTTTTCTTTTTGTTTTTCTACCTTTATCGTAATTTATGTAAACATGACATATTTTTATATAAATAAACTGAGAATATTATTGTACAATATTACAAATTCATTTTCATATTTTTTTGGTCTTTTTTTACATTTTCTTTAGAAATACTCTTTTGAGCCAATTATTATGGTGGTCGTCATTTATAAAATATATTTTTAAACAATATTATCGTATAATATAGTTAAACCACCTGTCGAATAAAATATTCATACACGCGTGTACCAAAAAATACACATACAAATATATACATGAATTCCATTATAAATTTGAGAATATGATTTGTATATTATTACTCGTATGTTTAAGTATATCTACATGAATGTATTTTTATTTTAAAAATATTTTAAAAGGACATTAATGTAAGAGCGTCCTTGAACATCTCTAATTTCAAATTTGGTAAAGTACAAAATAGCATATTGTGTGGAAATAAATTGGTGTATGTAATGAAATTGTACACACATACATACTCACAAAATGAAATGGTATAGTGGGTAAGGTAAATATCATAAAAATTAAAATAAAAATATTTTAAATATTACAAGGACATTATATTGTCAGGTTAAATAAGGATATATTGTTATTCTAAATATTTTTAGATGTGTAACACACATAAGATGTTTAATTAAAAGATTTATTATTTAATTTAAATGAATATAAACCTAATTTACCTACGCATGTTATGGCACACATACTGAAATGCAAACAAAATCAAACTCAAGTCACACATTCTGATTTTATATACAAATTTCATTTACAATTCGAACTGACCATTTTTAATATGAAGTTAATAAAACAATGTCGTCACTGAAAGTTGTTACAAAGTTACAGTTTTCAAAAAATTAAACTCCAAAGTAAATTGGTCAACATAATGTACATGCTGTTTTAATCAACATTTTAGAAATTAAAAACTCTGAACACAAGTTAAAAATTTTAATAATAATGGTAAAGTTGTTCTAATGTGCAATTATTTTCATCCCAACCAACAACTCTGAAAAATATTAACTAAGTATTATAATTTAAAATATTAGACAACATTATTTTAGTTCACTTCAATAAGGCCAAGTTTTACATGCCAAATTCAATGAATTTTATTTGGTAATATTGTGTAAATCAAATATGTATTTTATCCGCTCTTTGAATTATTTTACTAGCATCTGGACCGAAAATTAGTTGTATACTAACAAGGCAAAGAAAAATATGTACTTATCAAAGTACTTGTATAACAGTTATCTTATAAATCTAGGATCTATTTTTATTTTATGGAGTGATATCGGAACATTTTGGAATTGAAACACTCAATATAATTGAATATTATTTATTCGACATGGAAAAAATATTTAAAGCTTTTTCGAAATAAATTCAAAGCTTTTCTAAATAAAATTTTGATTTTGAGTAAATAATGCTCTTATATAAAAATTAAAATATATATATACAATAAGATTATGTAAAGACAAAAAGGAGAAAAAAATAATTGTATCATATGTGCTTATTAATGTCAGCTGATTTTCTACATAATACGAGTATTGATTGGATGTTTGTGTTATACATAAACTATATGTATGTGCATGTGTATATAGTACATTACATAAATTTTATTGTTATATTTATTAAAAATTTTAAGGTAGTTATCGATTCTATTCACTCGTACTATTAAATTTTTTGAAAGCATTAATACTGCAATTCTTCAGGCATTTTAGTTAAATGAGGAAACAAGAGTCTTTTATAGGATTTAAAAAATCATATTTTAATGTAATTTTTCACATTTCTATAAAAAGAAGAGAAATTATTTGCATAAGCTATCGATTATTGGGGTTACAGTCGAATACATACATTATTGTTTAATTACTTTAAGACCACGCTGTTATTAAAGGAATAAAGTTACTGAAAATTAGCAAATATAAAAACATATTGTGACGGAAATAGAAATTAGAGTAAACAATTGAAAGGCAAATTCGTTATAGAATAAAGAAAGTGTAAAACAGTAATTTAAGTAATTATTGTTGCAGTTACAGGGTTATTATGCTACAAGAATTGATATTTTTAAAATGCTCATAAAGGCTATAAAAATGTAATAATTGCCACTTATTACTAAAACTTTTTTTATTACATTTTCTTCGGTTTGAGAGTACAATTTCGTGCTTCATTTCAATTTAAATTTTCCCAAGTTATTTTGGGAAGATTTGAATTGTACATAGCTTTTTCCGCCGTGGCTGAAATGATTCATTAAGACCTAAAATTCTCGTATCCATTGCATACGCTTATCCCATACTCATATCCCATATAACAGAAATTCTTAAAAAAAAAAAAAAAACAGAATTAATTAGTTCATTGTGTTGCACTCTATTATAATGCAGTGCACACAATAAACTAATTAGCTGTATGCAATATTGAAGAAAATGACATGCTGAAAGCAATATTCATAACAATGTCATCATCGTGAGAATATAAATCAAGAGAACTTCAGGGAAATATTCATTTTAGAAAAATAACTTTTAGTTTTTCTTCTCTAATATTTTTTTTCCATTTTTCTTTTCGTCAAAGGAATAATTTTCCAGTTGATTTATTCCATTCTCTTTAACTTTGACAGGAGTAGAATATTTTTTTTGTATTTGTTTTTATTCATTTTGTATACACGTACATACTTACCTATTGACTTTTTTATTTTTCTTATCCTTTTTACTTTATATCTGGAATTTATTTTTGCTTTTATTCTGGTTTTTTTTCTATTTTATTTTAGTGAAAGTATTGTTAAAAGAATTTCATTTTTTTTTCGATTAATTCCAGTCAAAAGGATCTCAAAAGAAATTATTTGTAATAGATTATGAAACATGGTTATTTGAATACATTAAAACTGAAAAAAAAACATAGAAAACATGAAAGAAAAAATAAGAAAAGTTAAGAACTTAAAGGATCCTTGTTGATTTTTTAGTTTTTTCCTTTATTTTTTTCTGATCTTTTTGTGGCTTTGTTTTATTTTACTTTTTCATTTTAAGTACAAAATAGAATTGTAAAAATGTATACGTTTTTTTTCGTTTTAAACAACTTTTATCAATTGATTTAGTTTGAGATTTAATGGTAATTTAAAATAGTTAAAATTTACAAAAGTCTGACAGTTTTAATATTAATTAAATTCAACTTTAGGGTAATTGCATAATTTATAATACAAGAGAATAAGTTTATGGGAAAAAGGACTTGGTTTAAAGGTTTTTCAATCAAAGTAGAATTTGAGAGTAAAGAAAATCGATTAAAATTTTTGTAAAGAATATTTTGTATGCTTCTCATTCTTTCTATAAAGGCAACGATCTTTAAAAGGATCAAAGTGAGAGTATACAGGCATTATAGAGGAACATTAAAACCTTAGAACTCTTCAATGAGGTAAAATATAATGAATAATGAGTATTCTATGCAACAGCACGGTCTTTATAGCATTAAAATAAAGCAATCAATAAGGTTTTTCAATAAAAACGTTCCCTCTTCCCAAACGATCGTCCACAGTGCTTCATCTGTTCTGAAAAGAAGGCAATAATATCAAAATTCATTCATAATTTACTGATTATTATTTCATTTAAAATTATTAATTTAATAAATTTGTAAAAATCCAAAAAAAAATTGTTTGGATGCTTTAATTTTGAACTCATTTTTATTTTACAACACAATTTCACTTTATTATTAAATTTTTTTTTTCATATAAAAAAGAAAAGTTTCGCGATTAATAACCAAGTAATAAAAATTTAAACGTTATTTCTGTTCTTATTAAAAATAAATGTTAAACTTTTCGCATTTTTATTGCAAAAAACCAAAAAAAGAACAAAAAAAAAAACTATTACGCCCGAAAACAATTACTTGAAGTCAATATTTTTTCTTTTTATAATTGAATTATGCAAAAATTTAAATGGCCAACGTTCCAGTAAAGTGGAAAACAAACGGAAACACAATAATTCTTTAAAAAGATTTTTTTATTACCTTTTAAAGTGTAGATAGCTCCCACTTCTTTGCTCAGCTTTAATGAATAAAAAAAAAAGTTTTTCGATGCTCTTAAATAAAAAAAAGTGGAAATGGCACTTTTGGTAATGAATATGATTGTATAGCAACTCTAGGATAATTAGGTAGAACAAAAGTAATATAATTAGACCTAGAATATAGTGTAATTTGTCCATCATTTCCACCATCTAGAAGAAGAATAAATTTTTTAAAAAAAAAATTAAACTTTGAA